CTCCACGTCTTCACTGATAAGTCAAACATAGAAAACCAAGCAAACAATGGTGCAAGTGTCTATTCTGAACTCTTCTCTTTCTACGCAGCAGCGGGACACAATGGATTCGCTTTTGAAGGAGAAATAGGGGCCATTAGGATAGCACTATCTCAATTATGTTGCCTAGATACGAAATTCATCAAAGCGGTGATACTTTCGGACTCACAGTCAGCTATAAACTCAAGTGGAAACAGAGAGCCACCCAAAACAGCTGAGATAAAGGAATGTAGAAAACTCTATCAGCTGCTGAGAGAGAAAAACAAAACAGTGGTCCTGCAATGGATTCCTGGTCACTGTGGCATTAAAGGCAATGAGCTTGCTGGCGCAATTGCTAAGAAGGGGACAACAATTGTACAAGATCTAGACCGACCGATGTCTTTCCACACAATGAAGGCCTTAATCAGAAGAGAATTCCAGACCTTAAGGTGCAACGAACTTAAAGCTTGAACAAAGGAGAAACAGTGGACAGTGGCACTCTCTGACATAGCCGACTGGCCAAGAATCGAAGCCGTTGCTGAGTTTAGACTACGTACCAGACACGATTGCTTGGCAAAACACCTTCACAGATTGGGAGTATACACTCAACCCACATTCCCTTTATATAACCTACAGGAGGAAATGGAGAAGACCCACCTGATTCGATGTCCAGCCCTAAAGACAACGACGGAAAGGCAGAGATACTGGGAAGCAAGAAGACTGCTAAAATGTATCCCCCCCCCTCCCTTGGGGGAAGCTGAAGTCAAAGTTTAGAGCTAATGATAAATATAATAAAGCCTGCCATTTGAAATAAATAAATATCACCCTTCTGTCCCACCCCCCTCTTGAATTTTTCTAACTACGATGTTTCTCACCTCTGTGAAGCCCAAAGTCAGATAAAGAGCCAATGATGGCTATCAAAACGTCTGTCATATGGAATAAATTTATTTATTTATTTCAAATGGCAGGCACATGAGAAAATTAAGAATGGTTGCTAAATTGTCAACTGAAATCTGCAAAAGTAATAAAAACGTTTTGAAATAAACCACTCCCACCTCCACCACGAGACCTCCTGAGTTCTGTAGCGGATTGCTACCTTAGTAAAGCCTGACTGACTCAGCCCTAAGTAAAGCCTGACTGACTTAGAAATCTCTATGGCAGATTCTCCTGACTCAGAAATCTCTTTGGCAGATTCTCCTACATCTAGACCGACTCAGAAATCTCCATGGCAGATTCTCAAACATCTAGCTACCGGCTCAGAAATTTCTATGGCAGATTCTCCAACATCTAGCTAGGAATCAGAAATCTCTATGGCAGATTCTCCAACCTCTAGCTAGATAGAACCAGCTAAGCTATAGCCCCGAACCAGCTAAGCTATAGCCCAGCTATAAAGGAAACAGACCGAAACCAGCTAAGCTATAGCCCAGCTATGAAGGAAACAGACGCGTAGCACGGAGCACGTTTATTCAGTGGGTATGTCGCAGACATAGTGTTTACGCAGGAAGCTTAATCATGATCAGGATGGGAGATTAGGTTAAACAAACAGAGGTTAATGATTGGTCACTGTTTGTACGGTCGCACCTCCCAATCCTGGCGTGCAGGCATGCGATGACGTGTCCCACAGTTCTCTTCACTTCCATTTTTGTGAAGAAAGCATTTAGTAGAGCACTCTGCTTGAAGCTGTTTTGTTCGTCTGCAGACCGCCGGGATCCCAAGTGCTTATTCGTGAAATATATTCACTATGACATCCATAGGAGGTAACCGATTGTGGCATTGGTCCATACAGAACCGATTGGCGATGCCTCAGTGATGACCTTCTTCTCATCTGTGACCTTTCCCCTAGTTGTTCACATAACACAACACCTACAATAATCTTTTTGACAACTTGATGATAATGGGGCATAAATCACTGCTAGGACCAAGGAAGGTGAAGAGATGAATTAAGAAGTCTTAAGGAGGGGGGGGGGACATATTCCATTTTCCCACTTTTATTGCCTTCTCTTCTTCCATGCCAACTCTCCTGCGGTGGTCACTGTTTCCATGCTGGTAGTCGTGAAGATTCAGAGCCTTCAGCATCTACTGACACATTGAAGTGTGCTCAAACGCCACGTCCCACTCACAGTGGTTTTAACCTACAAACGCCAGTGTGGATTTTATAATGCCTTTTTAATATTACACATTGTCCTATCGCTTTTTTTCACATCTATCTGACACCTGTCTCAACTCTCACCTCAAACTATTGTCACTTTTTCTCCCTTCCACTAACTCCTCATATCATGTTCTGCCTTCTTAACAGAATGTAGGAGACATGATCGCACGCCAGGATCTGGAGTGTGCGGCCGTACGCTTAGAACACTTCTCAGATATATATTTTGCTATTAAAGTTCACCCAAATTATATTAGATTTATTCGATAAATATTCGCATTTGATGATATCATAATTTGCAATAAGCTTGTTCTAAGTAATACGTCTCTTTCCACCCTAGCTTCGCTGTAGCTTTGCTAGTTCAGATAAAGGAGATACTGGCATAGAGAGATTTCTGAGTCGGTCAAGGCTTTATTAGTGTAGCAAATAGCTACGAGATTGAGATAAATATTCCACTTGCCTTAAATAAGGATTGTTGTTTCTATAAATTTGATCATTCATTCTTGGCAGCAATTGGAATGATATTTCTGTTGAAAACTGGTAGGAAATTTGGAATGTGCATAGTAGAATCACGTGAAAGAATTGCATTGCCTACATCTCCTTCGAGATGTTAAATACATAAATAATTGCTTCCAGCTGATAACTGATCATTTCCTTTGTATTAGACATACCACGTCCATCTAATTGAGTGATTACTTCTCAGATAAAATTGAATTCAAAAGTCATGAGACCCACCAAAAGAACTTTTAGTTCATTTATATGGAACCTACAGTAATATTGAGAGTATTCATTACATTTCTGCATAAAATATCCTCACAAGCATTACGCATACAACACCAAATTGGAAAAATAATTGTTAGCCAAACTACGTAAGAAAGAAGAATTTTATCGCACATAAACGAGAATTTGGAATGTGCTTCCATTTAAAAGGCACCTTAATTCGAAAAAGTTTAGTGTATTGGATGTGAAGAAATATATGGACAATTTTACTTATTTTTACTCACGGTGCAAAAAATGTCGAAAGTGCTGGATACAAAAACCGCTAAAAACTCCAATTTGATTTGGCTTGAAGCTCGACATCGGTATTAAAAGATAACACTGATCTCAGTTTGGAATTATAATATGGGCTCATATTTCCATTAACGCCGTAAGCATTAAGTCTGGTCTAAAAAGCAGTACCAAAGACACAGCATATAAGTTAAATGCTTGTGCCTAGGCATTTTAAATTATTAGTCGCATTTTGTACTAATAGCAATAAAATAAGCTTGGCAGAATTAATATTATTAGTATATTCAATATAGGAGAATGATAGAGTTGAAATTCGTACTAAAAGAAAATTATTCAAATTAGAAATGCTTAATATATTGTGTTCATAATACGTTTTACGAGCTGAATTAATAACTTAAAACACAAAAATCTAACAGATATAGCATTTTTAACTTTAAAAATATTGATTGTTTTAATTCTCAAGGTGGTGGCCACTTCCTTTGTAGAGATTGGGGACGAGAAAGTCACGTTGTTTGCACATTGCTTCTATCGAAAGAGATTTTTCTTTGTCTAATTTACAGGTTCTGCATAGCTAGCGCCTTAGAGATGAGCGGTTCGTCATCATCTAGGGCGAGGAAGCAGAATTTTTCGCCAAATAATTCTAGTTTCTTTTCATACAGTGACGATATCGATACGGAAGATGGGTCACAGGACTACTTGGAAGACAGTTGTCCACCAAGAAGAACAAACAAAACCGCGTCAGTGACTAGGAAAATTTCAGATCCTAGAGATCGTCAATCCCAACTTGACCATAATGAGCAGGAACGTGGTCGGAGAAGGGAGCTTGCCATTATTTACGAAATGATCCGTACTTGTATCTCGGAGGATGATATCCGCAGGCATTTAGATGGTACAGCCAAGTCTGCTGACAAGCTGTCCTACCCCCAACTTCTACAGATCTCGTGTGGAAAGATTCAGGATGAACTACACGACCAAAGGATAATTCGTTCATTGTTTCGAGATATCGAGTTATTAGAGCAAATGTGTGCTGATCTAGGCATCGAAATTGAGAAAAAACGCCCCGCCGTCGACCCAATGGATCATCACAAAATGATTGCCGAAGTTGTCGAAGAAGTGTTATCGGTGGATAAAAGGTAATCGTTGGATTTTTGTTTGACCCTTTTTAGATCACGAAATTATAATGGTGAATATGTAATGTCTCAGCGTGCGAGAGCGCAGCAAGCGCACAGTAAGCTCAACGGGCTGTTGGTGAATGTAAACAATCTGGTAAATATTTCCCAAACGCAGGTCCATCATTTTCCTTCATCTCGAGAAAATCGACCTGTTGGCCCTTTCCGTAGACCTCATCGCAGAATTCAGAAGCGAAGTCGTCGACCATTTTGGAATAGACGTGCAACCTTAATAAGCCCTCTCTCATCTCCAGTTCACAGTCCGTTTCCTCCATCCCCACCTTCTCCAAGTCCCTATGAGGATTCAAGACTTTCCCCTGAAATTATTGAAGAAGTAATAAGTCAATTCCCCCCACCATTAGTATACCATGAGCCTTCTGCTCCTTTCTTATCGTCACTGGATGTCCATGATCTTTCGGATCGAGGAACAATTGAAAACGGCGAAATCAGATTCGAGGAATCCATTTCCATTGAAGAGGCAAATGTATTGCTTCGCGAGTTTGATGTAAATGGCATTGATGATCTTGGATTCGAATCCCTTTTTGGATTAGTTAATAGTGGAAATATCCCTGAGGAATTTGACAATATACCCTTTGGCTATTTTCCCTAAGTCTTTTCTCGCTTCCTGATCGCTGTATATATTTTAGTCACCCTAATGTGACCGGTTTGAAAAATACAAACGTTTTAATTGGCTTTATTAACTATCTACGGAGGTGTCCGGCTTTAGGTTCTGTTTAATAGTGCTCATCACGTAACTTACTGTTCTAATTTCTGAGCTTTTCATTTTCTTGCAACTTTGCGTGTGTTGTTTATCTACCATTTTGGTCTGTTATTGTAATGTAGTTTGCCCTTATTTGTAGCTGAGTGTTAAACGTTGGAGTTTTGAGTGGATGGGTGTTTTTTGTGCTAATTGTCCAATTGTGTTTTGGATAGTACGACGTTCCTTTGTAATTCCTGGATTGAAGTGTAGGCTGTTTGAGTGTGTATCGCAGGTGCTACAAGTTAAGATGACCTCGGCGGTTGCGTCAACTGCAAGGATTCTTATGTGTCCGTAGAGGGTTCATTCAAAGGTTTTGAACTGAGCGAGTCAGAATTCACGAGATTGGTACTCGCGGCCACCCACCCAATAGTGGGATTGGGCGATTGGACTATTTGAGCTGGGGTGCGCGATAGACTTACCTCCTCGTGGTGCACCCTGGACAACGTATATTCATACGGCAAAAAGTCTATTAACCGGCAGTTGACTTCTCACTTCAAACTACCTCCCCCCACTGTATGTCATAATCGGCCACTTCTACAGTACTCGCCTTACCTTTTTTTTACCTTCCTATCTGTCTCTGTAGCACTCTTCTGTCCCCCCCCTCTCGACTTTTTTTCCACTTTGATGTTCCTTCAAAACGCCTGCCATTTGATATAAACTATTTGAGCCTAATCAATGAGAGGACAACCAGGTGTGGAGACCCCTGAATGCCTCTCCCACTATACGAGTCAAGTATTAGGCATCTTAGAGAAACAAATTTAAGACGGCAGGGGTGTGCTCTAGAATAACCTCCACGTAGTGCACCCTAGGCAACGTATGTTCATACGGCAAGAGTTTATTATCTGGCACTTAAAACTACCATGACCTGATTGTAAGTCATATCCAACGTCTAACATAGTACTCATCTCACCTTTTCTCTGCCTTTGTATCTGTGTCTTTTACATCAATGAAACACTCTTCTTTCCTTCCCCCCCCCCTCTCAACTTTTTTTCACTTTGATGTTCCTACCTTCCCTTGATAACTGTCAAAACGCCTGCCATTTGATATAAATAAATTTTAAGAATGCATAAGCTGCTTTTTAGGTTGTACGACCGTCGACTTTCTCGAACACGTTATGAGCCACCATGTAGTGGACGAGAATCTGTCTAGTTATAACGAATCCTAAAAGCCAATGGTTGAACTTCCTGTTATAAGATACAGTGGTCGACTTCATCTCCATTTCATGAGGGGTAAAGCCGAAAGAAAGGAGGTTTCTGCCTTTCGCGTTAAAGTTGTCATATTTTTGGCACAACTTGTATGCCCCTCCACTTTTGAAGTGCCTGCGTCTGCCTCTGTCTATTTAGAGCCCGTAAGAAAGGCGGCGTGTGCGCACGCACTCGCGCGCACACACACCATGTCGAAAGTCCGTGTGTGTTGTGTAATGACGTCAGTCGAGCCTTCGCTGGTTGCCAAAATGGTCTGCTTTTCGTTTGGGGGGCTGGCGATTCACCCCGCGCTCGCTTTTACGCCGTCTACCAGGCTGCGATGCGCTGCTAATATCATTCTAATTCGCTTCACTGCCGATTCAATGCAACCCATTCATATATACCAATTCGCATCCTTAATGAAGAAAGAAATGTATATATATCTGGATCTGCTATTATCTTTCTCCGTAAGTGACTCAACTTAAAGGACCTCATATATCGCCGGCGTTGGCCTGCTCAGGACAGGCGAATGTTCTGAGTCACATGTGGACATTGCTGCCCAGTGCTCAAAGTTTACCATACGTTACCGCAAAAATGTGGTTCTTATTAAAATCGCTCACGACCATTTAAGTGAGCGTGTCCCAATGCCCATCGGGGCGGGGCGGGGTGGGAGTGGCACTAACTCGTAAAGGCCTCCACTTTCGCCACCCCCTAAATTGGCCAGACTTAACGAATGCGTGTAGGGGTTAAATGAGCCACAGAGATTCTCAATTATCGGCTTTTGGAAGCGCAGAAATGCATTTGCGGATCGAGAGATTGTGATTTTGCTGATACTCTAACTAGCCATCTTGTCTGCTTAAACTACATCAGCTGAATTGTATCGTGTGGGACACGTTATCGCTCTGTGCGTCATCGTATGCCCGCATGTCTGCTCGCCAGGATTGGGAGGTGCGGCCGCACAACTCTGTGTGCAGCGACCGTACAAACAATGACCAATCATTAACCTCTGTTTAACCTAATCCCCAATCCTGATCATGAGTAGCTCCCTGCGTGTACACTTTATCCGTCATATACGTACTGAGTAAACGTGCTCCGTGCTACACGTCTGTTTCCTTTATAGCTGGGCTATAGCTTAGCTGGTTCTGGGAGTCTAGCTAGATGTTGGAGGATCTGCCATAGAGATTTCTGAGTCAGTCAGGCTTTAATAAAGTAGCAATCCGCTACAATCGTCAACTTCTAGTTGCGGATTTGAAAAGCCGCAGAACATTTTTTTTCAGATTCTTTAAAATTGATTAGAAAACTCTCTTCTAGAGAGTAAAATGATGAACAACGTTAAGAAAAAAATTATATCAAGTACAAAATGAGAATAAAGTTCACTTCTCGCTATAAGTGTGTTTGCGTGTGAGAAATATTGACTTTAATGGAATGTACTTTCCGATTGACTAGACAACACAATTTGCAAAGTTTGTTTTTGCATTTTATCAACACACCAGTTGCGCACTTACTTTTGTGTTGGCGGTGTACTGAGTTAATGATCAAACACGATCCAAAACTAAGTTGGTTCATTTTCTAATTTCAAATAATTTGAAGCCCATACTGGTGTGCGACAGACTTGCCTCCACGTAGAGCAGCTTGGGCAACGTATGTCATAAAATAACCTTTGAAAATTTGTAATTGTTCAGGGAGGGTGAGGAAGGTGGGGAGGGGGGAAGACGAATTTTCGTGGGTGCAGAATCAGATGAAGGATGAGGCTTTCAAATGGTTCTTTTAAATACCATCTAGACTCCCTCTATGCGTCAACTTTTTCTGGAAAAATAAGTTGAAGGAGGGTTGGGGAGGGGGGGAGTGGAGTGGAGTTAATTTAGGGAAATGGATAATATTTAGGTTCTCGAAAAAAAATAAATATACGAAATGGACTAGATGCTAATTATTTAGCTGACCTGATAACGCGAAGTGATACGTTCCAGCAGACTTCGAAGGTCGTTTTCTTCTAATATAATAAAGGAAAGAAATTCGGAACTTAATAGGGCTTACTATTTTGCAGTATTCCAAAGCAAATCAGTTGTGGGATATGTCATTGAAGGAAACCTAGCGATGGCATTCTAACAAACCACAGGGTTTCGCTTAAAGTTAATTTTGTATCTGAGTGGCGGGGATAGACTTACCTCCACGTGGTGCACCCTGGACAACGTATACTCATATGGCAAAAAAGTCTACTAACCGGCAGTTGACTTCTCACTTCAAACTACCATCATCCCACTGTATGTCATATTCGACACCTACTGCAGTACTCATCTTACCCTTTCTGAGCCTTTGTGTCTGTCTGCTTCTTTTACATCTCTGGCTCTCTTCTATTCCCCCCTCCGGAATTCTTCTCGTTTTAATGTTCCTCCCCCACCCTCTGTGAAGCCTGAAGTCAACTAAAGGGCTAATGATAACCATCAAAACGCCTGCCATTTGTTATAATTAATAAATATTTCCCCATTCGGATATATAAGAAGCCGATTCTAATCAGGTGCACACCTGGAAATGCACATGCTCTGGAAAAAATCTGTCGGAAGCACAAATCACAACATTGTGGTTAAAAAGTTCGGATTTACAGCCAGCTACCACATGAATCAAACCAACTCAAATATGATAGTAAATCGATGAAACAAAAAATCTCACAGCTGCACCTTGGGAAATGACAATTCGGGATAATCAATTCTTGTAAATCAGCCATACGAACACGCGGGGAAAACATCACTACTGACAAGTTGAAAGTGATTTGCAGTGCGAACTATTGTCAACAAGATGAAGACAACTTATGTGCTTGCGTAAATAACATTGGATTAGTCAATAAAATGTAGACAAGTGAACAGTAATGCCTGTTCTACGAATATCTTTTCATTTATCACTACAACCAGTAGCCATGTAGCTACATTAATGAGAGCTTCCCATTCTGACTGCCAAAAAAATGCAACTGGAATAGGTGGAAGGCAGCCTGAAACAATTCTGGTAGGAAATCCGCGTTCAACGATCCATTCTTGCTGGCCAGTATTAGCCATCACTTTTGGTGATGCATATAATTGAATGCGCATCAATTAACGCCAACTAAGTGGTCACTGACTTGTTAGTCACTGCGCTTCCGTCAAGCACCGGCACTAGGTAATTCGTTCCACATTAATTAATTAATTAATTAATAACTGCTGCAACTAAAGCGAACACTTCTTATTCAACGTTAGGATTATTATTATTTCAAATGGCAGGCTTTATGATATTTATCATAGCCCTTTAGTTGACTTCGGCGTTCCCCACGGGGGGGGGGGGGGGAACATGTATAGCAGTTCATTAGTTGTCTTCTTGCTTCCCAGTATCTCTGGCTTTCCTTCGTTGTCTTTAGAGCTGGACATCGAATCAGGTGGGTCTTCTCCATTTCCTCCTGTAGATTACATAGGAGGCATATGGGTTGAGTGTATACTCCCAATCTGTGAAGGTGTTCTGGTACGTAGTCTAAACTCAGCATCGGCTTCGATTCTTGGCCATTCGGCTATGTCAGAGAGTGCCATTGTCCACTGTTTCTCAACTCGAGGTCTTGAATTCTCACCTGATTAAGGTCTTCATTGTGTGGAAAGACACCGGCCGGTCCATGAATTGCAAAATCGGCGTCCCCTTCTTAGCAAGTGT